TTTTTTCTGCTATTCTTCAAGTTAAAAAAGGTGAGCCAACATTGCAATATTCAAAATACTGAGTTTCTTGAGTAGATTTAGAATCCAATGCGTTTTTACTGAAAATCCGGATTGTAATTTTCTTCCCTATTTTCAAATGAATTATGTGGAATCTTTCACCGGACCTTACCCTAAATTTCCTTTAAAAGAAATTCCGTCAAAAACCGTCAAGTTGGAGTCTCAATTATAATTGGTTGTCGTAAGGGGTGCCCAATTTATTGAATTTTCTTCCTTTTCACGCCGTTTTTTGGGAATTTCGGATTTTCTTTGAATTTTTTCGCAATAATATTTGAAAAATAAGTAAATTTTAACACATTTTAATGCAAAAATTTTTTTGGCCGGATTTCCCCTTTAAGCGTTGTACACCATCACGGTAGAATGCATACACTGGCCCCAAAAATCCCCCGTAAAATCTCCTGTCCCCCCACCTTTAATAGAAGGGCCCTCCGAGAGGGGCTTGGAGAAGTAAATGGGCCTCTGTAATAGAAGGGACCCCGTAAAAGAAGGGCCCTCTGTGAAAAAAGACACCCTTCAAAATGTGCATTGAAAAAAAAGACCCCCTTCAAAATGTGCATTGATCAGAAAATTAAGGAACTCCACAATTTAATAGAAATTTGTTGAAACTCTATTTTTCAATGAAAATCTTGATAAATTTTGGTGAAATTGGTAGATTTTCATGAATGTTGAACAAAACTTCGTCGAATTTTTCAACGCAATATTTCGGAAAAAAAACTGGCCGGAAAAATAGAAGGGCCCTCCGCTGGTGCCTCGGAACAATAGAAAGGCAGGCCCTTCTAATACAGGTTTTACAGTAACCCTAATAGGGACCAAAAAAGGTCATGAAGCAATTTTTAGAATTTTTGAAAAAGAATATAAATTTTGAGAGAAAAAAAATGTTTCACCGGCGATCTTGATCAATTTTTCGATCATATCGACCATGTTTCCTGTTTTCAAAGAACTTCTCACTGTTTTCACTTGTAAAAATTATGTCCAACTAAAATACAACCTATTTTTTTTGTAAAGAAATCGGTAAAATTTGTTAAAAAATCCGATTTTTCTCGAAATCAGGATTTTCTGTTTTTCTTCTCAAATATATCGAAAACAAAATTCATACTTTTTCTTGCTGTAAGAGCATTCTGCGAAAACTGGAAAAATGGTCCCTTTGTAAAATCTGAAGGGGAAAATGAACGATATTGGAAGATCTGAACAAAATCACATCTTATTACAACTATATTTAGATGAACTAATCCATATATGAGATATCCATCCCCAATACGACCTGAAATTGTAGACGAAATATGGACGCGGCACTTCCGATCTCGATTGCGCGCAAACGGTGTACCTATGTCGTCCATATGAGGCGCCGCGCCAACGCATATACCATGGGCAGCCGTTACCCTGTGAAGGTTTTTTGCCAATGGGATCACCTTCTTAAACCAATAGTAGATGGAGGGAGGGGTCCCCCACCCCTAACAAAAAAAACAAGAAGTCACCCGAAAAACCCCTCTTTTCGGAGACCATTGTCGGTTAGTTTTCAAAAGCCCCCTCACCCTGATAAGAAGCCACATTGCATACCGCATTTTATTGTTGTCTCAATTGTTTTAATCTTTGATAAAATCTCTTGCTACTGGGGGACGTTCAGTGATAAAACACCTAGCCATGAACCCCGGAACATGGCGACCCTTAGGGCCTTTTAGTACTTTTTCACATCGGACCAATCGACAGAAAAAAGCAAAAGAGACAACAACAAGCAGCGTAATGCAAAGAGCTTCTTACCAGAGAAAAAGGAGCTTGTGAAAATTATCCAACAATAAAGATTTCACAGAGAACTGATTTTTTTCAACATGTGGATTTTTTTAACGAGGACAGAAGGATGGGGGCGCAACGTAATCTTGACTGATTTATTTATTTATGGCGTTACGTAAAATTCTGGAATTCTGAAATTCCGGAATACCGAAATTTTAGAAAATTAAAATTCTGTAAATTCGTGATTCGGAAATTAAAATTTATTGAAATTTTAGATCCTCGAATTTAAAGATCTTTGTAAAAATCCATGTGAAATTTGTATTTTGATTCTGAATGTCGAAGATAGAGCCAACTTAATATCCGTTACGTTTCAGAATCCAAGTTCTCCGTTTAGCCCACTCAAAAGCTCAATTACCGTAAACACTCTAATAGAACGTCACCCGAATCGTCAAATTTGAAGTTATTTATCTCATTTTCTGAAAGAGATATCAAAAAGTGGCTAACTAATAAAATGATGCTAATGTCATGATAAACATTTCATAAGTTGACAACTTTTTGATATCTTTTACAGAGACCGAGATATACAGGCTCAAAATAAACGGTCCGGGTGGCGTTCTATTAGAGTGTTTACGGTATTTCAACTTCTGTGAAAGATATCAAAAATTTGTCAACTGATAAATTACGTATCGTAATATCACCAACACTTTATCAACTGGCAACTTCTTCACATCTTTAAAAGTAATAAAGATAATTGAGCTCAAAGTTAACGATTTGGGTGGGCTCCGATGAGAGGTAATACGGTAAGTACCAGGTGACCACATAGGAAAGATAATTGACTTTACTTCCCAGGTGGTAGCATAATACGGCCATCTTGGTCCTCATTATATTTTCAGCGTCTTTAACTGTCAACTATCTTTCCCAGAAGGGCTTACCACATGTATTCCCACGTCTCGAGCCTCTTCACATCCCACCTGGCCATAAACCTGTAGTCATAACCTAACTCATTTTTCATTCGTTCTACCATTTCTGGTTGGTCGTATGTTTTCTGGTCCTTTCTATTCTATCTAATCGATATTTTGTTTCCAGACTGTGCTAGGCCAAATTTTCTAGATCCCTCTTCTTCCTTCTAAGCTCATATACCTCTGAAATTGTTCCTTTTTTCCAGATCCAATCTCCTTTCATCATAAAATGAACGCCTACGAAATGCAATTCCACATCCTCGGACGCATTCTGATGACTAGAGATGACGACATGGTTAGTTCATGTTTTAATATTGATTTTTACTTATTTTTCTTTTTTTCGTGCTGACCCCCTTAGTGGACTTTAAAATTTCCAAAAACGAATTTCCAGATCACCAAAACCATCGAACAGCTCCTCAATAAGGGTTACCCATCAGTGGGGATCCTCGATAAATGTAATATTCCATTTCTGATCTCATACTATGCACCAGAGAATGTCTTTGCTCAACGACTTCTGAATATTCATCATATGGCAAAAAGTATTCAGATGAAAAAGGAGTTGAGCTCAGTTTTGGAGAGTTTTGAGGCAGGAATGGCCCAACGATTCGAAGGAGAAATTATTCCAGACGAATTCGTGAATCTTTTGGCATTGATGACACAATCCAAGGAGGAAGTTATTGTGAGTTGAAGCTGTGAAATTAGAATTAGAGATTAATTTTACCTATCATCACTAATAACATTCACCAAATTCTGTTATGTATGTCGCGCGCCTTTTCCCCCATTCAAAGTTAACCGATTGTGCTGAAACCTGACGGATAGGTCAGAAGTGTGTCTTAACTGATGCCCGAACTTTTCTTTTTTTGAAATTTCGATTTTGAATTCTTCTGGAGACGTTCCTTGATTTCACCGCAGTAAAGCGTGGTGAGCAGAGAGAACGAGGAAATCCCCACACTCGTAGGCCAGTAGGTCAAGCCCGGAGGGGCGTTAACCGACTGGTTCTTATTTAAAGTGGTTAGTTTTAGAAGTCTAGAAGGATAATAGGTTTTTTTTTGTTGGATAAAAAATGATATTTTACAATTCAAAATGGTCATCGCTGAAGTCTTAAAAGTAGCCCAAAATGTGTTGATTTGTCTGAAAATTTCAGATATAATATGTTTTTAGACATCTAAAGTAAGCGAATTTCAATTTAAAAAAAAAAAAATAATGGAACTAGGTCATGTTTAGTATTATTCCAGGCTCGTCTCGCCTTCCGAACTCTCCACGATTTTCCGATTCCACTGGCGATCGCTGCATGGCTTCGCCTTCTGGCAATTCTCTCAATGCCTCGATTGCCAGAAGCTGAAAGTCTCAGATTGAAAATGGAGAGAAACTTGAATCGTATTGACGAGGTTGATGATGGAATTGATATGAGAATTCCAGAAGAGAATGTCCCACAAGTTGTTCAATTTGTTCCACAAGTTCCGGAAGATTCTGATGATGATGAAGAATCGGAATCTGAATCCGATACTGATACTGAATCAGAAGCAGATTCTGAATCAGATGAATCCTTCCTTTCTCAAGATTCTGCTTTTGGAGGAATCGACGAAGTTTTGGAGGACATCCGAGAATACGAAGAGGAAATGATCGCGTTTGACTATTCCCTCGGGGAGATGATTACGAGAATAGTGATCGAGGCTTTGCAGTCGAAAACGGATGGGTTGGTGAGTTGATTTGTTTGAAGTCTGGATTTTAAAGATTATTAGATGTTCTAGATTCCTAGATCCTTATATAGGTTTGTTTTAGATTCTAAGCATCCTGGATTTTTGAATTTCTGGATTTCTGGATTCTTAGGATTTTTGGGAGGGATCTTTGAATTCTTTGAATTCTCAGGACTCAGAATTTTTAGAATGCTTGTGGTTCTTTGGATTTTCTATTATTTTTGCTCCCAATTACCCATTTTGCAGATCAATCTCGCCACCCGAATGGTCAGCGAATTCCGAATGCAATTCTCTCAATCATTGTTTCAAAAATACGAAATTGCCCTTCATTGTCTCAAGGGTCCTCAGAATGAATCGACCGAAATTTTGATGAGCACCATTTCAAGAATGGTCGTATAACATCCTGTCGACCAGAAAGACAAACTTTTCAATGAGATTTTGGAATACTTCGACTCCGAATCCAAAGTTGATGGAAAGATTAGTGATGTGATGCTGGCAGTTTTGATGACTTATATTACCGAGGAAGACGATGATTATGTAAGTTCCTATTTTGGCAGAATTAGTCTTAATTGGAATACATTAATTACCCTTCTAATTTGTTGACAGCGGATCCTCAGTCAGTCGAGACCGATCCTACGTCCTAACCCGAGAGTGTCCGCAACCTGAAATGACCCCCAATTCCCCCCAAATGTGTAAGATAAGCGGTGCAAAGGAAATAACAGTACACAAAGTATTCAAATCCAAGTTTATTAACGGAAAGGGATTTGAATAAACGGCAAAGACAACGGAATTGGGAAAAGTAAGCAAGAACAGAAAATAAGTAAAGGTGTAGGGCTAAAACCTCCTCGGAGCTACCGGAGGAAACCTTGCTGCCTTCTAAAACTGGTGCTAACAAACCAAAACGATGCCAAACGTAGAAAACTAGCTGAAAGGCTAAAAAAAGTTAAACGGGACCGCATAGCGGTCAGCTCTTGGTGAGATACGAACACTCGCTTCGCCGCAGCGAAGACTGAGTAACGACGGGCGGCGGGCGCCAGTGCCAAGTGGCGCGGTCGCTGCAACGCGATCGTTGGCGCGTATTCAAATAATATTAATATTATTTGAGTGAAACAATGTACTTGTAATAAGAGAACGAAGAGAGATAAGAAGAGGAATGAACATGACCCGAATAAAGCGGATAATCCAGAGGGATTTTATGGGGAAAATCGGGAGACTCTGGGTTATCTTGCTTTCAGGTTGTCATTGTTCCAAGACAATGGGAAAAATTGAAAACTAATTACCCTAATTTTCAGGCATCCGATGTTGCTGCTTTCCTTCTACAAAAATCGGTCACTCTATGCCAATTTCGTAATCAAAACGTTTATGATTATCTGGATATGATTATAGAAAAATCCGAAGAAGTTTACGAATTGATGGACAAAATTGAAGACATGATGGATGAGGAGGAATAGGACGAGAAGAATTGATTGGAGATTTCAAAAAATTGTGGTTTTCCTGTATTTTTGTTCATTTTTAAAAATGTTTTCCTTTCTTGAAAAGTATCTCTTGTTTTTTTGTTTTCTTAATAAACTCAAAATTGAAATATTGATTTGACGGGAATTCCAAAAATTATGGATACTAATTGCAAAAAATTCATGTAATTCATCATCTATTTTTCAAAAGTGAAAAATTTTGGAATTCTAAAATCATGGAATTTAAAAGATTTTCAATTTATGAGATTTTGAAGCTCCGAATTACTGAGAAACTGAGACTTTGAGATTCTGAAAATCTGAGATTCTGAGATTCTGAGATTCTGAGATTCTGAGATTCTGAGATTCTGAAATTCTGAGATTCTGAGATTCTGAGATTCTGAGATTCTGAGATTCTGAGATTCTGAGATTCTGAGATTCTGAGATTCTGAGATTCTGAGATTCTGAGATTCTGAGATTCTGAGATTCTGAGATTCTGAGATTTTGAGATTCTGAGATTCTGAGATTCTGAGATTCTGAGATTCTGAGATTCTGAGATTCTGAGATTCTGAGATTCTGAGATTCTGAGATTCTGAGATTCTGAGATTCTAAGATTCTAAGATTCTGAGATTCTAAGATTATGAGACTTTGAAATTCCGAGATTCTGAGATTCTGAGATTCTGAGATTCTGAGATTCTGAGATTCTGAGATTCTGAGATTCTGAGATTCTGAGATTCTGAGATTCTGAGATTCTGAGATTCTGAGATTCTGAGATTCCGAGATTCTGAGATATGAGATTCTGAGATTCTGAGATTCTGAGATTCTGAGATTCTGAGATTCTGAGATTCTGAGATTCTGAGATTCTGAGAAACTGAGACTTTGAGATTCTGAAAATTTGAGATTCTGAGATTCTGAGATTCTGAGATTCTGAGATTTTTGAGATTTTTGAGATTCTGAGATTCTGAGATTCTGAGATTCTGAGATTCTGAGATTCTTCTAACACTAAATTAAGAAAAAGTCCCAACTTCATATTTTCCTTCTCCCCAAAATCCTCTGCTTTATTCCATGAATGGCGTCTCGTCTAACCCAAAAAAAGGGGAAGAATTGGAATACAAAATTGAAACACATTCAGGCGGTAAAAATCCCGCAAAAGAAAAGAAACACGGAGATAAATTGTGCGAGATAACGAAAAACTTCAGGTTCCCCCCACTTATTTTCCTGTGCCATGGGAAGAGAAATAGATGGAAATCTGTTTGCGTTTCAAAAAATATTCCTTCGTTTTTCCACTTTTTTGGAAGCCTGTTATATATTTCACAAAAGATGGGCGGTTTTCTGGGAATTACGCAATTTTCTTATTGATTCTAATTTTCGATATTTTATGATGCCTTCAGATATTTTTGAAAGCCTATAGGATCTTTTGGAATTCTAAGAATCCATAAAATCCGAATTTTTTTCAAGAATCCAACGCCTCTGAACTTTAGAATCTCAGAATCTCAGAAGTTGATGATCTTCAAAACTTAAAAATTTCAGAATTTGAGAAAAACCTTGCTTTTGAAAAATAGGTGACAATTTCCAACTTTTGAATCTTAACTTTTCAAAACCTTTTTGGAATTCCCGCCAAATCAATACTTTTAAAAAGTCTCTAGAAAATCAAAAGTAATAGATTTTTATGCTCTTCTAGAATTTTCCTGTCTGTACCTCTGCAAATCCAGATGGTTCTCTCAGAAGCCTAATAATCTAAGAATTCCTAAAATCCTAAAAATCCGAGACCCTGAGAATTTTAGTGTTTGAGATTTTAATTTCAAGATTTCCGAATTTTCGAAAAAAAAAATCTGAAGTTTCAAAAAATTGTATAGCTCCAGATTTTTAGACTCTTCTAGAATTTTCCGTCTGTATCTCTGGAAGTCCGGATGCCTCTAAGAACCCAAAAAATACAATGAGTACTAAGAACCATAATAATCTAAGAATTTAAGATTCAGAATTTTCCCGAGTTTTTTTGAATTTCAAACTTCCAGAGTTATATTTTCAGAATTTCGAGATTTCAGAGAATATTTGAAAACGTGAGAAGTCAAGGATCTGAGAATATATCCTCTTTTGAAAATCTCTTCAACCAAAAAATGCCGTTCCAAGCATTAAGACACTTTTCAGATTATCCTCCATTCCCTAATCCTAGCCGTTCCGCAATAAACATGAAACCTCAAGATTTTTTTTTCAGTTTACCAGTTTCATTGACGGATTTGGATTTGTTCCACCCGTTCATTCTCAAAATAACACCTCCTTTTTTTCTTCGTTTTTTCTTCTATTGTTCGGAAAATTCAACCGGTTATGAGGTGTTCTTTTTTTGGGAATTTATTGCTGAATCTCTTTTGTTTACTAATTTATTCAACCAGTTTTCCTTGATTTCACACAAATTACTCTGGGTGAAAAGTCAAGTGGAGGTCAATTATTTAGTTATTTTTTTAATTCTTGAACTGACTTTTTATTCTAGAAAATTCGTTCATGTGAAATTCTCTGATTTTTTAACATTAGATTTTTTGGAAAACATGTTTTTTTTTGGAAACTGAAATGTTTCAGTTTTCGGATTCTAGGTTTTGGAATTTTCAGAATTTCTGATCTTTATACTTTGGTGATTTCGAGAAATTCGAATATTGCTGAATGATCGATTTGGGAACTTTTGGAAGTATTTTCATTTACATTCGGAATTACTATTTTGGAATTTCTGAACGTTGTGTTTTTTTAAACCGTCTGAATCTCATTACCCAAGAATCTCAGAATTTCGCAGTTTCAGAATCTCATGGCATCTTAGAGTCCTAAAATATGATAATTTCAGAATCTGAAATTCTGAATCATGATATTTCAGATTTTCAGAAACTCGATCTATGGATCTCAGAATCTCGGAATCTCAGAATCTCAAAATTTCTAAGTCTCATAATCTTAGAATCTCAAAATCTTAGAATCTCAGAATCTCAAAATCTCAGAACCTCAGAATCTCAGAATCTCAGAATCTCAGAATCTCAGAATCTCGGAATCTCAGAATCTCAGAATTTCAAAGTCTCATAATCTTAGAATCTCAGAATCTCAGAATCTCAGAATCTCAGAATCTCAGAATCTCAGAATCTCAGAATCTCAGAATCTCAGAATCTCAGAATCTCAGAATCTCAGAATATCAGAATCTCAGAATCTCAGAATCTCAGAATCTCAGAATCTCAGAATCTCAGAATCTCAGAATCTCAGAATCTCAGAATCTCAGAATCTCAGAATCTCAGAATCTCAGAATCTCAGAATCTCAGAATCTCAGAATCTCAGAATCTCAGAATCTCAGAATCTCAGAATCTCAGAATCTCAGAATCTCAGAATCTCAGAATCTCTTTTCGATCCTTCTAAATTTCCAGCTTCTTCTAGAAAGAAACTTTTCCTGAAACCCCTTCGCTCCCCATTTTTCCATCCTTTTCATTCTGTCTGTCTTCTCATCAAGTGACACATTGCCATTCAACGGGACACCCCTTCTTACTGTGTCTATTATTCCGTAGAAGAGGAGGTTTATGTGTTGTGGTGGTCAAAGTGATGGAACTGTGAATAGTCTATGTCCTCCTCTTTTGAATGAAAAGAGGATGAAGGACAAGTGTTGCTAACGGGAAGATTTTTTGAGATTCGATTGGATTTTTAATGCAAATTTTTGAGATTCATATGTATAACAGATTTATGATCATCGTCTTTTCGCTTTTTTTTCGAAATCTTTGACTTTTGAAAATTCAAGAAAGAGATTCTCTAGACGCATAAGATTGCTACTTCCTGGCTAGCCATAGAATTTTTATTAAGTTATGAAATCTGAATTCTAAGATTCTGAAATTCTGAGATTCTGAAATTCTGAAATTCTGAGATTCTGAAATTCTGAGTTTCTGAGATTCTGAGATTCTGAGGTTCTGAGATTCTGAGATTCTTCTAACACTAAATTTAAAAAACCCCCCCCCCCCAATTTCATCTTTTCCTGAATTCTTGGTTTAAAAAAATTCTGAGTTTCTGAGATTCTGAGATTCTGATATTCTGAGATTCTGAGATACTGAGATTCCGAGATTCCGAGATTCTGAGATTCTGAGATACTGAGATTCCGAGATTCCGAGATTCTGAGATTCTGAGATTTTGAGATTCTTCTAACACTAAATATAAAAAAACCCCAATTTCATCTTTTCCTGAATTCTTGGTTTAAAAAAATTTTTCAAAACTCTTCATTAGATCCCCCATTATCAATTTATTCTTCATAACCAAACTACCGTAACCTCCTCCTCCTCCAATCCTTATCATATGAATAATAACATATCCATAGATGATAAAACCATCCTTCAGAAAAACCAATAAAAAGAGAACACATGTTTTTCTTTTCCATCTTTTTTCTGTATTCAGAATGGTCACACATAATAAAAAAGCCTATTTTCCACTTGACTGATAAACACTTTTCCCTTTCCTTTTTGGGCTATTATCCCTCTTTTTTCTATAGTTTCTATATCGGATATTCATGAACTTTTCGCAAAAACCGTACAGCTTATTAACTGGTTTTTGCTGATATTTTATTGGGAGAAAACCCCGGAACATTTGCTTGTTTGCCTGATGTAGTTTTGGCTAAAAATACACCATATTTTGACTTTCTCTGTGGGATACAGTCTATTTTTGAAGTACCAAAAACTATTTCAAAAACTTTCCATAGATCTGAAAATTTTAAATGTATTACACAAGAAAAGTGCTTCATTTTTGTAATTGGCAGCCTTGTTGTAGATTTTTCAGTTTTTGAGATATGCGCCTTTAAAAGTAGTGACGCTTAAAGTGCAAGAAAAAAGAAGATTACATTAAAACCTGTATTAGAAGGGCCCTTCTATTGTTCCAAGGTACCACCGGAGGGCCCTTCTATTACAGGGGCCCTTCTAATGAATGGGGCGTTCCTATTTTTCCGGCCAGTTTTTCCCGAAGTTTCGCATCGAAAAATTCGACAAAGTTCCGTTCTTAATTTATGAAAATCTGCCAATTTCACAAAAATTTGGCAAGATTTTCATCGAAAAATAGAGTTTCAACAAATTTCTATTAAAATGTGGAGTTCCCGGAATATTTTCCACTGGAAAAGTACGGAAATTTTCTGATTTCAAAACATATTTTGTAGGGAGGGCATTTTTCACAGAGGGCCCTTCTATTACGGGGGCCCTTCTATTACAGGGGGGCCCTTCTATTTTTCCAAACCCCTCTCGGAGGGAACTCCTATTACAGGGCCCTTCTATTAAAGGCGGCCTTCTAATACAGGTTTTTCTGTATATAGTATTTTAAAGGCGCACATCTGAAAAACTGAGAAAGCTACAAAAAAGTTGTATATCACAAAAGTAGAGCTTTAATTTTGCTTGGTACACTCTGAGATTTTCATACAAATCTGAAAATTGTGTACTTGTTTTGTAATTCTCTAGAAATGACAGTTTTCCACTAAAAATTTTGTTTGGGACTTTTTTTTTGAAAACTTTTATATTGAAGCTTTTCCTTTTCATCATGCATCTTTTATGTTTTTCAAACTCTGGATCAGAACAATTTTTTAGATTCCAAAATTCGTTTTAAAATGAAAATTCTAATTTTGAAATTTTATTTTCAATTTTTTAGAGATTTACAGATTCCCTGATATTTAGATTCCCAGATTCTTAGTTTATGAAATTCCGAGACTTTGAAAATTCGAGAATCCAAATTTCTTAGAATCTGAAAATCTGAAATGCCGATATTCGGAGATTCTCAGGTTCTAAGATTCTCATGGCCTTTTTTTGTCGATTTTCCTGTTCCGATGGTTTTCTCTTCTTTACACACTAATTTTCCCTTTTTTTTCCACTCGAGATTCTTAGAAAGCAAATATTGATTTATCCAGAATATCTCAAAATCTCAGGATCATTGAATTTCAGAATCTCAGAATTTCAAAAAACGTTGAAATTATGAAAAAGGTTCTCACAATCAGAATGAACTTCTGCATGTAATTCTATCAATCCAGATTTCTTTTTTTCCCAGGTCCCCCTGGCTTTCCATCAGTCTGTGTATCCAGATGTCCATATAGTTTTTTTTTGCAAAAAAAGGAGATCCAAACCGGTTGAAAAAGACGAACAAACTCTAGTTTTTTGTTTGTGTCCTTAGCTTTTTTTCCATCAAAAACGTTTTCTCCATTCTCTCCCTCATTTGAACTGTCTCCTCTCCTTTTTTCTCTCTATTAATCTGAATCCTTCTCCTTCTCCATTTCCCGTTTTTCCACACTTTTCCAGCCTAATGATGACCGTAAAACATACGAAAGAGGTGGGGGGTTTTGGAAACTACAACTAGTTACTTTTGGGCAAAGAAAATTGGAGATTTGGCGCCGTGGGGAAAAAGTACTGGATTTGGAGATTTAGATGTCGTAAAAAATCTGAAGTCATAAAAATTGTACGATTTTTAACTCATAAATTTTTAACTCATAAGCAATTCGGAGACTTTGAGAGTTTCTAAATTTTGGAAATTACTTGAATTTTAATTGTTTAGTTTCTGAACATTAGTGATTTTTTGCAAATTTTCAAATTTTTTTTGGGTTTTATGTGTTTCAGATATCTTGGCAAAATTCAGAAATTCAGATTTTGTGGATTTTCATGCATTTTCAAGATTTTTGGTCTTTGGGTTTTTTTGATTTTAGGATTTTCTAGATTTTAAACTTTCGAAACTTTTGAAATTCCAAGGATTCAAAAATGCCATGGAGTTTCGGGAAGTCGCGAATTTTTTTAAAAATTAAGATTCTTAAAAAACTGAGATTCTGAGATTCTGAGATTCTGAGATTCTGAGTTTCTGAGATTTTAAGATTTTGAGATTCTAAGATTCTGAGATTCTGAGATTTTGAGATTCTGAGATTCTGAGATTCTGAGATTCTGAGATTCTGAGATTCTGAGATTCAGAAATTCCGAAATTCTGAAATTCTGAAATTCTGAAGTTCAGAAATCCAAAAATTTAGAAATCCAGAAATTCAGATATCTAGAAATTCTGAAATTCTAAAATACTGAAATTCCAAAATTCAAAAATTCCATGAAATTCGGAAATTCCAGAATCTTAGAACTTGAAAATCTCAAAGTGCTAAAATTTATTGAAAACTAAATTTAAGAAATTTTGAAACTTGTTTACACAAAGTGTCTTCTAGAAATTCCACTACTGTTGTTCCTAATCGTAAAAACTTATTTCTCAAAAATGCGAAAATATTTTCGTTTTTCCTGTCACATGTTTTTTGGAACCGCCGCTCATAATTGAACCTAATTTATCCAAAAAACCCCCATCAGTTTTCTTTAAAAAAAAGAAGAAAAAAATGAACTTCCGGCGGCGAAAAGGGAAATTTTCCGTTTCATCTTTTTGAAATTTCTCATAATTTCTCTTATATCAAAAAGTGTCAAATTTTTGGATGACAGGTGTGGGAGAAATAAGTGAAAAATGATCATGTAATTTTGAATGGAATGGCCAACGCCTTCTTTTTTTTGGAAATATGATGATGTGATAAATAAGTTTGAGGGTATTTAAAGGGGACAAGAGTACGAAATTTTGCGGAATGACTACCGTAATCCATAATATTGGCTAGCTCAGCCTTCAATTCGGGATTTTTTTTTATTTTCCTGCCTTGCAATTGAATTTTTAGAGCTCTAAAATGGTTGGAAAATGTAAAAAACTGTTAAAACATTTTGGAAACTTAGAACCTGAGACTCTTAATATGCTGGAATTTCAGATTGTACGGTTTTTTGACGCACTACTTCTCGAATTTCATATTTTTGATATTTAACTTTTAATATTTTGAAAATTCTCAAACCAGTGATGGGAGGAATTTCCGTTTCCGTTTCCGCGGAAAAAAAATTTACGATTCCGTTTCCGTAAAAGTGAAATTTTATTTCCGTTCTCGTTTTCTGTAAAAACCGCTATTTTTTTTCAGCGGAAACGGAAAAAATGTATAAAACAACGAAAACATCAAACTGAAACTGGCTTGAAAAAAAGCATGGGAATATAGTCTTTAAACGTTAAAAAGTGTAAATTTTTATGTTTGAAGGGAAAAAAATCCTGAAAAATAGACGAAAAATAGGAATTCCCGTTTCCGTTTCCGTTCTAGTTTTCCGTTTCCCGTTTTCCGCCCGATTTTTGAAGATTTTTTCCCTTTCCGTTTCCGCTGAAAAAAAATTAACGATTCCGTTTCCGTTTCCGTTTTCCGTTTTTCGGAAAAATGCGCTTTCTTCCATCACTGTCTCAAACCACGGGTTTTAAAGATTCTGAAGTTCTTGGATTTTCAGAAGAAACCGCAAGACTTTTTTCCTCGGAATCTTAGAATGCTAGATTCTAAAAATTTCAAAACTTCCATGTTTTATATTTCGAAATTTAGAAACGATATTTCAGAATTACTGTAAATGTCTTTTTTAATTCCTAAAACTTTCAACCACCAATGGTTATGATGGTCCACCATGAAAGAGCCCTTTCTGTAAAAGGGGCATTTAACTTTGAGCCAATTTTTTAGTTTTGTAAAAGATATCAAAAATGTGTCAACTAATAAGATATTGGTGATATTGTGGTAAACAATTTATCAGTTGACCACTTTTTGATATCTTTTTCAGGAACCGAGATATATTAATTTGAAGGTGACTGATAGAGAACACTTCCTGTAATTAAAGGACCTCTTAACTTTGAGCCAATTTTTCTGGGTTTCTCTGAGAGATATCAAAAAGTGGTCCACTGATAAAGTGTTTACCATCAAAAACATTTTATCAGTTGACTAGTTCACTATATCATTTACAGGAATCGAGATAAATTAGCTCAAAGTTGACTGGCACTTGTGATGAAAGGGTCTTTTAACGTTGAGCTCAATCATCTTAATTTCTCTGAAAGATATAAAAAATTAGTCAACTAATAAAATGTTTATCAAAAAATCAAAATTATTTTATCAGTTTATCACTTTTTGATATCATTTATAGGAGCCAAAATAAATCGGCACAAAGTTTACAAGGCCATCTTTTACAGGTATTACGGTGTCCGGATAATTACCGAACCCTTAATTACCTTTCATTTGTGTAATCAATTAACTTTCACCAAAAACTGTTTGCTTTATCCACTAAATCCAGCTGATTCTCATTATAATCACTCTCTCTCTCCCTTCCTCCGTATTTTCCCTTTTTGTTCATCCATTTCTCACATTTAGTTTTCATTTCGTTTCGCCTAATTTGGTTGCGTAATCTCTCCTTCTTCTTTTCCATCTCTTTCTTCCCTATTCCATATACTTTTTGAGTTCAAGTTTTACCCCATAAACTGTCCTTTCTCTCTCTTCCACGTACTTTCCGTCTCATTAGTGCCACCACCACCTTTTGGCTGTTTCTGATGGCTGATGGGAAATTGGACAAAAAGTGGTGTGGCCATTTTAGAATACACTTTTCTCGCACGAATTTTTGTCACTTTTTTCTATTTTTATTACTTAGGAGAATTCCGAAAACTCCGATCAAAAAGTATTAGCAATGTAAAAGATCACATTACTGGTGATTTTTAAAATACCGTAAACTCTCTAATATAATGATACCCCCTCCCTCAACTGTCGAACTCAAGAAAATTTATCTCACTTCCTGTAAAAGATATCAAAAAGCGGTCAACTGATAAAATGTTTATCATAATTTCTAAATTTTTTTTTAGTTGACCACTTTTTGATATCTTTTATACGAACCGAGATAATTGAGTTCAAACCTGACTGTGTGGGAGCCCTTCTATTAGAGGTTCCACGGAAATTCTCGCAATTCAAAATATTACGGTAGTTTTCAGTGTTTTTTTTTTTGAATTGTGATTATTGTTCTTTTTTTAGTTTACATGATTTTTATATTCTGAAGTTCCACTGGGAAAATCGGAGAAACAGAAATTGAGGATTTTCGAAATTTGGATTATTTCAAATTTTTAAAAATTTCGAAGTTCTGATAATTGAAAAATTAAAAAACAACTAAAATTCTGAAACTCCGATTTTCCAAATTTTGAAATGTTTCAAAAATCCCGATTTTTGAAAATTCCGCATTCCGATTCTCAGGTTCTGAACTTCACTAAATTTAAGACAGTCAAACTTCTGAGATACCAAGAGTTCAATAACACTCTAAATAAAAAACTAAAATCTTAAAGTTCTAGGAATCTAAAAATTCTAGGAACCCTTAGAATAGTTCAAAAACTAAGACTTTACCAAACTCTTTATATCCTCCGCCTCTTCCCCCTTCTCTCTCTCTACCCATTTGTCCATATTTCCCCACTTCCAGATGTCCTGTTCCGTGTTTCTCCTCCTGATGGCCATCATCACTCCATCAGTGATCTCCAGTGTTCTTTTGACCTACCCACAAGCTAGATTTCCTCCTCTCGACTATCTTCCTGATGACCTCACAATGCCACCATGTGGAGTGCCAAAACCTACAAAACGTAAGAATCTCAGATTACTGAAAATCCGAAGTTTCAAAAACGAAAAAAATTCAGCGTTCTACACCACATTTCATATTGGAGAGTCGTATAACGTCTCATGGATTACACCATCTTCTTCAAATGTGAGTTGCAGACATCTGGACGAACAGGAAACCAATCCATAGCGAAAAGAGTCAACTTTAGAGCCCTACAAAAGTATTCCAGAATTTTCCGATTTGTCTGAAAATCTCAGAATGGGCTAAACAAAAACAGAGCTTTAATTTTGCAGTTGTCAAATTTTTTGGTTTTTGAGATATGCGCCTTTAAATATGGTGAAGCTTACTAGCCGCTGCAGTGCAAGAGAGAATGAGGAGAGGACCATACGGTATTTTAAAGGCGCATATCTCAAAAACTGAAATAGCTACAAAAAAGTTGTCAATTACAAAACTGAAGCTCTACTTTTGTTTAATACTCTAAAATTTTCAGACTTATCGAAAATTGAGAACTACTTTTGTAGGCCTTCAAAGTTGACTATTTTTCAAACTACAGTAATCAACACACGCTTCATTCTGAAGTTAGATGATAGTTCAAAAATAGAAAATCCAGAAAGCGAGAAGTTTAAAACTTCAGTAAAAAGTGTCCAAAAGTTAAAAAAATTCCCTAAAAAGTTTTCCAGAGCACCTACCGTATCCGCCTCGTGGATTCTGATGGTCTTACTGTTGAGCAACTACCCGGAGTGATCACCGAGATGGAAACTTTCCAGAATATAAAACTGCGAAGCCCTTGTGAGCAGTGTATGTTGCTCATTGAGCAAGTCATGCAGAACGGAAAAGTTTTTCGATCATGTGCAGATGTTAATGTTGTTAGGGCAAGTGGTAAGTCATTGTTGGGGTACTGTAAGATGTGCCCAAGTTTTTGGAGCTCAACGTAGCTAAGCGAGAAGCCCAAAGTTTCAAAATCTCCATCTCTAAAAATCGAATTCTTCCAGTCAAATCCGATGAGCAATGCAGTCAACGTGGCAGTATGATGAATTCAACATGTCAGTGTGAATCCGGTTTTACCGGCAATCAATGCCAATATTTTGCGCAATGTGAGACGAATGACGATTGTCTGAACGGTGGAATGTGTGTGGATCAGCCGGAGTCACTGATCAAGAAGCGATGTTTTTGCTCTTACGGATTCTTTGGGCAGCGGTGTGATCAGAGTAAGTGCAAAGGATGGGCAAGATATGGGCAGGTGATGGGCAAGGAACGAGTAAATAATTGGGCAAGAGTCACCCAACTTTATTCTTGCTCTGTGTCCCAAACCTCCCAAAATGGGGGACCGTAGGGGCTAAATGTTCCATTTAAGCTCACTTATCTCGGTTCATCATAAAGATATCAGAATGTGGTCAACTGATAAAATGTTAGTGATAATGTGACAAACATTTTATCAGTTGACAAATTTTAAATACCTCTTATAGAATCCGAGATAATTGAGCTCAAAGTTAAAGCAGGGCCATGTTTGAATCCTTGCCCCGTTTGCCCGATTTCAGACTTAGTTAACTGGAGACACCTGGTTCACAAAAAATCCAGTTTGACCCTTAATCTTAATGAATCAAATCCAAATTTTAATAACCAGAATTCAATTCCCAAAACGATCACTGCTTTGCCTATGATGAGCCAGTGGCTGCTGATCTTCCACTCTACGGAATGTTCAATCCACGTTGCTATCAGCGTCATGATCTATCAGCCAATGATCGAATCTATTCGAGAAGAGTCGAGAATGAAGTCGAGGTGATTCTGGATTTCGACACCCAGAATTGGTTGTCATTGGGATGGAGACCAACGGAGCTGAGTACTTCGTGTCGGCTGTTTCCAATTTTAGAAGATACGAGGGGAAGGATCAGCGAGATGGATCAGATGGCGAGGAGAGAGTTTGTAGCAAAGCCCGTGATGCCGAAGAATAATGGATTCAGTGAGTTTGGATATGTTTTCTTACTTGTTGAAAGTTTAGTTGAAAGTGGTGAATTTTAGTTTAAAAAATAAAACCCACTTTTTCTCCCTGAACTACCGTCAAGTTTGAGCGAATTTTTCTTGGCTTCCTTGCGAGATATCAGGAATTTGACAACTGATAAAATACTTTTTGATATTATGACAAACATTTTATCATTTAATCAATTTTTGTTATCTTTCACAAGAAGCGAGATAAATTGGCTCAAAGTTCAAAGCACTGTTTACTGTATTTTAGTTCTTTCTTCAATTTCTAGGGTTAAATAACTTTGAGAGTTCTGATAACCAAAAGATCAAGCACCTATTCCAGTATTTGAAGACTCTTTTTTTTTTCAAAAATTCCAATATTTTTCAGCGGAGCTCGGTCTAAAATCCTCTCTCCACCCCATGGATTGTGTTGATGTGATCATGGCTTCCGTTCGAAACGGACGCCTCTTCATTTCCGATTTTTACTCTCGTGACAGATCGACACCATTGGAAGACTATTGGTATGACGGTGAAATGAGTCTATCAGCTGCCTACGGTACACAACAAGATGGACGGTCGATTGTGATGTTTAGGAGAGAATTGAGAGGTAGGGTAGTAACTTTGGATGTCTAAAACATACTGTAGATTTTGTTAGATAAGTCTGAAAATTTTAGAGTGTACTGAACTAGAATAGAGCTTCATTTTTGCAGTTGAAAAATTTTTTGTAGCCTTTTTGGTTTTTGAGATTTTTAAAGATGGAAGCCGCTACAGTGGGAGGAGAGGAGGATACGGTATTTTAAAGGCGCACACCTCAAAAACCAAAAAAGTGACAAAAAAGTGCTAAACTACAAAATTAATCTCTGTTTTCGTTCAGTGCACTTTGAAAGTTTCAGTGTCATCCACCAAAGCCTACTGTAGTTTTTAAGCGGACCTATGCACTGTAAATAATGAAGAAATGTTCAGAATTCGAGCCGACTGATCATCCATTGGGACCAAATGAGATTCTAATCGTCTGGTCGAAAGGAGACACTCAGATGGGAAGTTCCTTCCAAGGAACGAATAGAGGAGTGGAGAAGCTGAAATTGGCTGAAACTGTGAATGTCACTTTTGAGCAACAACAGCCGAAGATTTTAGCGACTAATGAGTTGGCTTTTGGTGTTAAGAATGTTGTACATGGTGAGTGATGGAAAATTTGGTGAATTCTAGGATCTTCGGATGTTTTAATTCATAGAAAGAAGGAATGTCCAAATTTCCAAAAATACAAATTCAAAAAATACGAACTTCGGAAGTTCTGAAATTTGAAAAAAAAAATGAACAATTCAGAAATTCAGAAATTCAGAAATTCAGAAATTCAGAAATTCAGAAATTCAGAAGTTCAGAAATTCAGAAATTCAGAAGTCCAGAAATTCAGAAATTCAGAAATTCAAAAATGCAGAAGTTCAGTAATTCCGAAATTCAGAAATTCAGAAATTCAGAAGTTCAGAAATTCAGAAGTTCAGAAATTCAGAAATTCAGAAATTCAGAAATTCGGAAATTCAGAAATTCGATAATTCGGGATTTCAGAATCCTGAATTTTCGGAAGTTTTGAACATTCTGAAAAAACAAAAATTTCCAAAAAATCGAAAATTTTTAAAATTCAGGAATTCTCAGAAAATCTTGAGATTCAGAAACGAAAAATTAAAAATTCGGAACTTCTGAAATTTAAAATTTTGCTAATTCAGGAATTCCAGAAATCACAAAAACTAAAAAATCTGAATTTCAAATTTTCCAAAAAAATCTCAAAAAAGCTATTTCTCAGACCGCCTGGAACCAATGACCGTCGTCTCCACCCCCACCACCCATCAACCACCATCAGAAACCTCCAAAATGCATCAAATTCCAACACCAGAACCGCCCCCAAAAACGTCTTCTGAATCTCCACCTACCTCGACGGAACCTGAAAATTCTGGAATTCAAACTTTCAAGTTTTCCACAATTCTGGCTCTTCTAATTGCTATTTTCTATTAATTCCTACGTTCTATTACAATTGATTCTTCCACTCCAGCCCCCAAAATTGATACCGGTACTTTTAATCATTGTGTATACATATTTTAATAGCTATTCAGTCAAAAATAGAATCAACAATTTTATAAAAAAAAGAACAAATAAATAAATAAATTCTTATATTATCTAGTGATAAGATTCTAAAATCTACAGAAAAAAAAAATCAAAAATCTAGTATTAATTATTTATGGCTCCAAACTTTGACGTCCGCCTTCGGCAGCATTTGTTTTTTATGTTTTATCAAATCGGCCGCCCGTTCCGCCATCATTATCACTGGAGCATTCAGATTTCCACTGACGATTGATGGCATTACACTCGCATCTACGATCTGAAAATTGCGGATTACGGTAGAAAGATTTTTGCGTCTTATCAGGTCATTTTGCAGATTCAGAAAATGATTACTGTAGAATGATGGAGAAGATTTTGAACAGGGGATTACTGTAGAAAATACCGTAGCGTTTAGAAATTCTAGACTTCCTTCCATCATTAGATTTTGAGGATTACTGTGGAAATGATACTGTAGGAAAAAGGTACAGAAAAAAAGTTTCGATTTAGAACGGATTACTGTAGGAAGTCTTAAATTCATCTCGGCTCCTAAATTTTTGAAACGTGGGAGGGATACTGTAGATTTTTAAAGTAACAGAGAAGATTACGGTAGAAATTATATAACTTTCCAGTGATTATGTCTTGGATTACTGTAGTTTTGAGAAAATGAAACTTAGACTCTAGAAAAATTGGATTACTGTAGCTTCAAAAAATAGAGGAGATTATAGTCGATATTTATATAATTTTTGGTGGAAATGTTCTGGATTACTGTACTTGTGATAATGAAACTCCAGAATACCGTAAAATCAAACAGGATTACTGTAGATCCATAAAAATAGAGGGGATTACTGTAGAAATTTCATTGGTAAGCTGAAAAATAAAAAATTACTGTAGCTTCGAAAAACAGAGGGGATTACTGTAGAATTTTGTTTATTGCAGATGAAAAATAGAAGATTACGATAGTTTTGAAAATAGAGCTAAAATATTAGAAAAATTGGATTACTGTAGCTTTATAAAATAGAGGAGGCTACTGTAGAAGTGTTAGAATTTTCTATGGAAATTTTTCGGGATACTGTAATTTTGAAAGTGGAACGGAAACTGTAGGACAATAGGATTACTGTACACTTGAAGGAAATGGACAGATTACTGTAGAATTTTGATTAGTGAAGATGAAAAATAGAAGATTACGGTAGTTTTGAAAATATAGCTAAAAATGTCGGAAAGTATAGATTACTGTAGATTTGAAAAATAGAGGGGATTACTGTAGAATGTTCATTGGCGAGATTTGAGAAATGAAAAATTACGGTATTTTTAAAAAAGAAAAGTTAAAGTTTTGAATATCTGAAATTCAAGAATTCAGGATTCTCAGAATCTGTAATTCCAGAATTCTAAGTTTTTGAGATTCTTTTCTATGATTTTTGAATTCCAAAACTAGCAATTCGAAAATTTTGACTTTAAAAAATCGTTGGATTTTTGGATTTTTCTGAATTTTTGAATTTTCTGAAATCTAGATTTTCAGTTTAGTTTTTCGACTGGATTTCCAGAACCTCCTTTTTTTAAACTCTGGATTTTCAGAGATCTAAATCCCTCACTTTCAAATTCTCGGTCCCATGCACTCCCATCGTTTTCGGATCCACCACCGCCATTCGATCATTCTCATTTCCCATTTTACAAGTGCACGATGGATGATAAGCCGATGCGGCCTTCGCCTTTACGAATTTATCAATATCCGCATCCGATTGACAATTGTCTCCCGGTGCCAACTCTCGTCCACGGAATTCATCGAAGGCTGGCGAGGCGAAGAGCTCTCGAGAGAGTCGAATACATTTTCGGAATTCCCGCCAATCCGCGTCTTCATCCATGTAGTTTGGATTGATGATTGGAGCACGACGGGGATCCTTTGCTTGTAGCATTATGTATCCTTTGGATTTCGATCTCATTGGGCCGACGTGCACCTGGAAAATTTTGGGATATTGAAGCTGACAAATAATGGTGTTTTGAATTTTTTGGAAATTCTGAATTTTCGATTTTTGGAGATTTGGAGGTTCTGAAATCCAGAGATTCTTAAATTCTTAGATTCTGAGAATCCGCAATTTTTGAAATTCTGAGTTTCTGAAATTTAGGGATTCAGAAATTCAGCGATTTTGATTTTTGGAGATTCGGAGCTTTTGAGACTTCAAAGCTTTAAGATTCAGAGATTTTGAAATTCTATAATTCTGAGATTTCGAGATTCTAGGATACTGAAATTTTGAAATTCTAAGATTCTGGAATTCTGGATGTTCGTATATTCTTAAATTCTAGGAGTTGGAAATTTTGAGATTCTGAATCCCCGAACCTTTGAATTTCAGAATTTTCGGTGATTCTGAAGTTTTAAAATTTTGAGATTCTGAAATTCTTAAAAATCAAATTTAAAAATCTTCGATTTTTTGGGATTTTTGATTTTTCAAAAATCAAAGATCCTCGAATTTTCAGATTTCCAGATTCCAAAAATTCAAAAATGTCCAGATTTTCTAGTTCTTAGCTATCTACAGTATCTACAAAACTACCTACAAAATGATACCAAAATTTTTGAATTGTTGCTCATAATTTTCAGAAAAATCGAAAAATCCTAAACTGCAACTTTTTCTAGACTAGGCTGGCTTTCTAGTCACATTTGGAGGCCTGAAAAAGTTGCAGTTTAGAATTTTTCGATTTTTCTGAAAATTTTAAGCAAAAATTCAAAATTTTATCTCTTTTAGAAATCGAGATAATTGGGCTCTAATTTCTAGTGTATGCTGGCTTCCTATTAGACCGTGAACGGTTTACGGTATTTATTGCCCGTGGGGTACTGTACCTGATATCCATGACACTTTCCATTCGTCCTCCCATCATCATGTACTGTCGATGGTAAGAAATGGAATTGAATATCTGGATGACTGACAGTCTCATCAGATCTCGCGAATCCTCCAGTTTCCAAATGAGACGACGCACCGAGACCCGTTCGATTCGTAAACCATTCCACACCGATTTTGATCATATTATGCGGGAATCTCCATGAGCTTTTGTTGTATAAAGTCACTGGTTTCAGGGATTCTTGTTGTACATAGATCTCCAAATGATCTTGAAGATTCTGACCGACTCCTGAAAATCGGGAATGTCTGAATTCGGAATTTATTACAGGAAACCCGGAATCCGAGAGGAAACCAGTCGTTTGGAGAGGAAACCAGTCGTTTCGAAACCGCGACACTTCGAAACCGGTCATTTGGAAACTGCGACACCCGGTCGTTTCGAAACCGCGAATGACTGGTTTCAAAGTGTCGTGTTTTCGAATTGACGCGGAGCCGAATCCGAAAATCTCTGCGACTTACCAGGCAAATCAACAACCAATGGGATCTCGTGAGATCTCAAATGTTCCGCCGGTCCAACTCCACTAAGCATCAGAATTTGTGGAGTATTAATAGCGCCACCAGCCAGAATCACATCTCCTTGACAATAGATTTTTTCGCGGGAATATGAATCAATGGAGTCGGTTCCAACGAAATTTAATTTTCGGATAAATTCGATTCCAATCGCTTTGGTTTTATCGAAAAGCACTCGAGTACATGTGATTCCTGAGGAGGTGATTAGATTCGGACGATTGCGAATCGGATGGACGTACGCTTTGGAGGCGGACCATCTGAAAAAGGGAAGTTATCAATAGAGCGAGTTTTCCCACTACAACAAACCTCTCCCCATTATGAATTGTCATATCCATCGTCGAGATACCCTCCTGTCTCTCTCCATTCATATCCTCCGTAAATCCCAACGAATGCTCCTTTCCCGTTTTCAACCACGCCTTGTGTAGTGGATTCTCTGCGTCTCCTTTTTTCACAAAAAGCGGTCCATTGGATCCCCGATATGAGTCATCTGGCCCGATGGCGTGTGAATAGGTCTCTGCTTTTTTGAAATATGGAAGACAATTCGAATAGCTCCATCCGTCTGCACCCTCTTCTCTCTCCCAACGATCATAGTCGTAGGCGTGGCCACGGACATAGCACATTGCGTTTAACGTTGAGCTTCCACCCCAGACTCTGGAAGAATTTTTTGGACTTAGTGAGAATTGGAGTTTTCTAGGACGCGGCTACCAATTTAAATTTCTCAAAAAATCGCTTCAAAATCCGAAAATTCTAGAATTCTGAAACTCAAAAATGCAGAAATTCAGATATTCTAAAATTCAAAAACTCAGAAGTTCAGAAATTCGAAAAATTGAAAAGTTCAGAAATTCAAATATTCAGAAATGCGGGAATTCAAAAATACAAAAATTCAGAAAATGTAAAATTCGAAAAAAAATTTCAAAGGTTATTTTTCGATTTTTCCGGTTTTTCGTCTGGAATTTAAGTGTTCTTGACGGAAGATTACTGTAGGTTACTGTAGAAAACCAAATTTCCCTTTGTAGTCTTTTTTGCAAACACAATCACGTCAAAATGCAGACAAAAATTGTGCTTGGAAAGAAAAAAACAAAAAGAGGAAAGTGGTTTTCTACAGTAATCTACAGTAATCTTCGCGCATACCGTCCCGTCCAATTAAGGAAAAAACTCGGAAAAATCGAAAAAGAAACTACAAAAATAGCTGAAAAACCTAAAAAGGTCAAAAAATTTTGCAAAAAAAATTTCTTTTTCGAAAAATCGCCAATTTTTCAGAGTTTTCAGTTTTGGCGGGAATTCAAAAAAAATTTCGAGAACCTTCTAGAAGTTTCCAGATATAGAAAAAAATAGCTGAAAAACCGAAAAAGTTTCAAAACTTTGCAAAAATCCAAAACGGGCATTTTTCGAAGTTTTTCTTTTTTTTTTGAATTTATCGTTGATTTCTATGTGAATTTTTATATTTTTCTACGCATTTTTTATGATGTTACAGTATATATTTAGGTGCAAAAATCGCTTTAAAACCCCCTAAAACAGCTCCACAAACCTTCCTCTCGGCCAATAAAACGTTCGATTTCCCAGATTCTTCTGTGCCGTCGTATGATAGTGCCAATTATAGGTTTCCGAGCACAAATTGTACATTAAAGCGGCCGGCATATGAATCCGCCAGTCCCATTTATGATCGATTGGACCCGCTTCGATGAGCAATACTCGATTTGAGGGGTCTTCCGTTAGACGGTTCGCTGGAAATTGGGGAAAATCGGAAAAAAGAAATTTTGGTTTTTCTTTGAAATTCACAAATTCTAGATTTTAAACCCAGAATTTTTGCTGATTTTTTGCCGGATGTTCCGTTTTTTTTTAATGTTTTTGCAAAAATTCAGTGAAAATAAGTAAAATACCATTGATTTTTGATTGAAATTTTCAGATTTTCAGACTTTTTTCGCACGAATTTTTTAGCATATTTCACCCCTAAAATCTACTTTTCAGCCTGTTTTTTCTATTTTTAGCCTATTTTTAGAAGATTCTAACCAAATTTATGATTTTTGTGAACTTTTTTCGGTCTTTTTTCATGAAAAACACCTATTTTTAATTGATTTTCGACAGTCTCTATTTTTCGTTTATTTTTTGAATTTTTCTCAATTTTTAGCCCATTTTTTTAAAAAAATAATTTTCTCTAATTTTCAGATTTTTTTTTCTAAGTTTTAGCTCATTTTCAGCCAATTTTTAATTCATTCCTCCTATTTGTAAACCCATTTTTTTTCTCTAATTTTACATCATTTTTTCTCTATTTTTTGTTCATTTTTGCTTAATTTTTAGCTCATTTATTTCCGATTTTTAACTATTTTTTCTCTATTTTCAACCTAATTATCTCTATTTTTAGCTAATTTTTCTCCATTTTTAGCTCATTTTTCCTGTCTTTTTTGCATATTTTTTCTTAATTTTCAGCGCATTTTTCTCCATTTTTAACTAATTTTTCCTCTATTTTCAATTCTTTTTTTCTTATTTTTTAATGTTTTATTTGCAAATTTTTGGCCCATTTTTAGCCAAATTTTCAGCCAATTCTCACCCAAAACACATCCAGCACTTCCAGCACCAACGATAATATGCGTCGGTTTATTCTCCTGAATATCCGCCGAAAACGTGCCTTCCCGCATCGAATCTCTCCAATTGAAACATCGTTTTTGGTGATGGCGGAGAGATCTGATTTTAGCCAGATGGTGCATTTTTTGGCTTTAAAATTTCGAAGTTTTTGAGATTTTTCGTTGGAAAAAAAAGGAAAAAGCAAAGTAAAAATTGGTGAAATTCGGACATTTCGAATCGAAAATCTATAGAACCTCTATACTACTTGAGAACAAAATTGGATTAAAAAAACATAGTTTTTCATGAAAAAGGCAAAAAAGTAGAAGAAAAGGACCCTTGAAAAATAATAAGAAGCAAAAAAAGGAAAAGAAAACTACACAGGGGAATCACATAAATTGTTGTTTGTACACGAAACCGGTTGGGCAAAAAAAAAGAAAAAAAGGAGGAAATTGATAAGGGAAAAAGGCGGATAAACAATTTAAAAGGGGAGAAAAATAGAAAAAATCTCTAGGCAGTTGATGAAAAAACACAAATATTATTTCGGGTCGATGACACTTGAATGGATTTCGTTTCGACGACTTCGCCATCTAGCACCACGTACGAGCCATCGCTGAGCACTTCCAGTTTCATTGAGGACACTTCGACGCGCTGAAAATTTGGTGATTTTGCATACTTGTAACGGGCCGGGCTTCCGAAATTTGGAAAAAAGCTCGGCCCGTTACAAGTATGCATTTTTGGGAACTTGGAAACTTTAGGAGTTTCGCAAACTAGAGATTCAAGAATTTTGGTAAATCTGGGATTTTCAAAAATTCTTAAAATTTCAAAAAATGTGCGAAATCTCAAGATATCAAAGATCCAGAAAATCCGAGATTTTTTAAAGAATTAGAGATTTTATTTTATTTTATTTTTTAAAGAATCAAATACCGTCCCATCAAATTTCAGGCAAAAAACCGGAAAAATTGAAAAAGAATCTTCAAAAATAGCTGAAAATACTAAAAAAGGTCTAAAAATTTTGCAAAAATTCAAGAAAAACCAATTTTGATTTTCTCAAATCCTTTTTTCAATTCCCACTAAAATTGCAATTTTTTTCGAATTGATTTTAACACTTTTCGAGAATTGGCCTAGAATTTTCAGTTTTGGCGGGAATTCAAAAAAAAAATTTCGTGACTCTTCTAGGATCTGAAGAATCTTAGGAACGGGAAAGTGATCCTGAAATTTTGAAATTTCAAGATTCTTGAAATTCTTAGATTTCCTTTTTTTTAATTTTTAGTTTTTCAATTTCCAATTGCGTCATTTTTTCGAACTCAAATTTTTACAAAAAGCCAAAAATCCCACCTTAACAAAGGGCAAATCCAAATGAGTCTCATGCTCAATCGCCAACAAATACTTTGCAATATCCACTCGAGTACCAATATCCTTCCACAAAATGTACGATAAATGAATCCGATTATCCTCTAATTTGGCACTCGGCGCGAACGGTCCGTCGGCGGCGATATGCGATAGAGTCACTGCGTACATATTGATGAAATCGTCCTCTATCACCACTTCTTCATCGGATTCTGATTCAGATGACGTCGTGTCTTCTGAATCATGAAGTGTCCATGTTGTCTTCTGATTTTTTAGATGTTTTTCCTCGTCTTCTGAATCCGCGAACGATGGAATTGTGATGGCGGTGGAGTCGTCAATCTAGAAAGTTTTAAAGGTCGATTTCGATAAATTTGGGATGGAAAACTCGATTTTAGTGATTTATTATTTTTTTTTGACCTTTTATAGGTATTTTATAGGTATTTAGACCTTTTTTACAGAAATTTGGACCATTTTTATAGGTATTTGAACCTGTTTTATAGGTATTTGAACCTTTTTCATAGGTAATTGGTTCATTTCACCCAATTTTTCGCTGAATTTGCCCTAAATTTGTTTATTTTTAGCTTATTTTAGCCTGATTCAGCAGTCAATTTTGGGAATTTATGGCCCAATTGTAGTAATTTTACAAAAAAAAATTTGAAAAAATTATTTTTTCCTCATTTTGTCCATTTTTAAGTCAAATTTTATCGGATTTTCGATGATTTTCAGGCATTTTTAACCGATTTTTCACTGATTTTTGGACATTTTTCAAGCATATCTTGATCATTTTTGTCAATTTTTATGATTTTTGACGAATTTCAGTCATTTTCAACCGATTTTTTACGGATTTTTGAGCATTTTCTTATGATTTTTAGTAATTTTTCCTCAATTTTTCGAATATATCTCACCCTTTGCTGTGTAGTTTTATCATAAATACTGAAGACGTTCGACGATGGAGTATAACCTCTGGCCTTATATGGTCTATACGTCAGTCGGCCTTTATACGAGCGCAGATCTGGAATTTTTAGGTTTTTTCAGATTTTTTCTAAGGATTTTTGACATACTACAACTGCGAATGAAGCCCATCAGTGTGAATCGATGACCACCGAGTTTTCGCCATTTTTCACTTTCGATGTCTGGAAAAAATGAGATTTTTAGGATTGAAAAAATCTGAAAAACGGACATTTTTCTGAAATTTTCTATTTTAGAGCTTGAAAATATCGAAATTTCCAACCGAAAATCCCTGTTTATAGGCAGAAAAATCCGATTTTTTCGGTTAAAAAAAAATGTTTTTTTCAAAGATTTTTGACAGGAAATACGATTTCTAGGCTGAAATTGAAGATTTTTGAGTGATTTTTGCCATTTTTATAAAGAGTTTGAGCCAAAAAAACATTTTTTTTTTTCTATTTTTGAGCCTTTTTTCTGAAAATTTTCTTTTCCAATTTTTTTGATTTCGAAAATTTAGATTTCCTGTCCTAAAAACTATCGAAAATCTCGAATTTCCTCTCAAAAACACACCTATATCAGCCATAAGACCCCAACCGATCGACAAGAACGCCGCATAGGTGGCCGTTTCCGTTTTTACAGAATACAACGCGACGGATTCAGCTCTCGCCGTTGGTGACGTGGCAATTTCCAGCGCTCGATCCATCACCGATTTTTCGTTCATTTTTGTGCCGTATTTTGATAAAACTGAGCACAAAAGACCGTTTCCAGAACCAGAGGGAACAATTCCAATGGGTAGATTTGGGAATATTCTGAACGCATCTTCACGGCAGAGTACTCCGTTTAGGGCCTCGAAAACCAATCCATCACCGGAAAGTATCAAAATTCCGTTGAATTTTCCGAGATCTGTCTTTGTCATCAACACATTTCGCGCGTGGTTTGGACCGGCTGAAAATTTGAAAATAGCAAAAAATATTAAAAATCATTGAAAAATTGACTCACTAGTGACCACGACTTCATATCGAATAAGACTCCTATCGAGTTTCGGAGCGACTGTATGCGCAAAGGTCTCTAAACTTTTGCCCCGGCCGCTGTGTGGATTGATAAAGACCAGAAGTGAGCCTCGACATTGTTCTGAATTTGTTTTCGAATTTATTTTTTTTCTTCTCAAAAGTTTGGGAAATTTTAGACCGAACCTTCCATTTTTGAGCGAATTTTTTGTGATTTTTTGCAATTTTTAGGTGAGAGATACCTCAAGAGGTCGTTCGAAATATCGATTTATTCCGCATTACAACGGGCGGTCTTGCTGACCGATCAGCGACCAAAGTTGCTACTTAATCGTCCGATTTACCGGTTTTTCGGGTTCAAATTTTTTGTTTTTTATCTATTATTACATTTTTTCTTGAAAATTCCGCATTTTTTCAGCAGGAAATTCTGTTTTTCTTAAAAACCTTTTTTTTTTGAAAAAATAATTTCAGCTTATGGTAGAAAAACACCGAAATTCACGACAACAACGCACCGAAGGCTCCGGAAATGACGCAATAATGCACAAAATAATTTTTGAAGAGAAAAAAAATAATTTTCGGAGAAATGTGTGGTTTTTGGTTGAAATTCTTAGAATTTTTGAGAAAAAAGCTTTAAAGACTTCAATAAATAGATTAAGTCCTGGAAAAAAATATATAAATCAGTGATTTTCGATAGAAAGAAAATTGGCGAAATTAGTCGATTTTCCGGGTTGTATCAGTGTAAAAGACTGTCGGAATCATATTTTGAAATGCGAAATTTGAAAAAAAATATAAGAAAAATGTAGAAAAAATATAGAAAAGTTTTAAAGCTCAATTTTTCAAAGGAAAAAACCAAACCTTTCGGCGGCGGCTCTCTGCTCAATATCACACTCGTTAGCTGCTCATTCTGCTCTTGCTCCGATCGGCAGCAGCAGCAAATTGTGGCGCCCATTTGATTGTGACAAAAGGAGCACTTTTTCGTCGGAGAGCCCTGCATACTCCAAATTCGTGTTAGATTTCGCTTGATAGTTAGACTGAAGATGGTTAGTAGCGATGGGGTAAGACATTTTTGGTAGTTTTCATATATGGTGAATACTATTAGGAACATTGGGAACAGGGTGGTCGAGATGATGAGTTGTGAGGTAAAGGGTGCGAGAAAGTGGGCAAAATAGAGAGGGTGGCAGAGAAATAGGGAAATGTTTGCATTGTTGTATTAACATCTTGATAATTGTAGTTAAAGTAGTTAGTTTTTTTTTGCTGAAAACCCAATATTCAAAATTCCTTAAATCTATCATGATTTTGTAGAGCTCAATCAAAAATTCCGAAGAGGTTATGCGCCTTTAAAAGGTCACAAAATTTGTGTTGCTAGGCAGAGAAAAAGGACACTACACACTTTAATATTTGCTCACGGAGAGAAGGGGACAAGAAACAAATCGTTAAAAAATTGAGAAAACATTAAAAACTGAATACAAAATAAAATATAGACCACCATTCAAATCACGTGGCTAGAAATAATGCCAAAAATAAAAAAACAAAAGATAGGTTGAATTGGGAAAAAGGGCAATTAGGAGGAAGAGGAAGGGAGGACAAAAAAAAGGAGAGGAAGAAGAACCAGTCTATTGTAGACTGGGTTAATGGAAGAATACTGTGACAATTATCAGTGGGTGATAAGGAATAAATTTCATATTCAGAAATTCCACGGAAAATCGAATTCCGGGAAGAAGCATAAAGTATACTTAACAAGGTCTAGAGTGACCACCGCGCGGAGAGAGAGAGAGAGAGAGAAAAAAAAGAGCAAATATAGGGTACTTTTAAAAGGGTTGGTTAGTACTACGGGAGAGCCTTTTTGCTATTGGTCACTGTGAAAAGCAAATGTCAACAAGGAAGTGTTGTTGTTGATTTTTAATAGGTTGGAAATGAAATTTCTAGAAGATTTTTTAGAATTTCCGAACTTTGTGGGATACTTTGTGGGACGTCGAGAAAAGATATCAAAAAGTGGTCAACTGAAAAATGCTTATCAGTATATGAAATACATTTTGTCAGACGTTTTGATATATTTCACAGGAGGAGCCTTCTATTACAGAAGTTAGAGTCAATTTTTCACTATCTACAATTTTGATTTTCGAACTTTTATGGAAAAATTCCGAAAATGCTCAATTACAGAGAAATTGAGAAGTTCAAAAACTCAAATTTTAGAATTTTTGGAATTCTTACAAAATTTTTGGAATATTTGGAATTCTTAGGGTTTTTGGATTTTCTTAAATTTATAGAAATCCGGACAGTTCAAGCATTCTGAAAATACCAAAAGTTCTAAAATTTGAGTTCATTAATTTCCTGATTGTGTTTTTTTTTTCACAAATAAGTCGGGAAATAAAAATTGACTGAAAACGCCCAAAAATTAAGAAAATAAAAAAAATGCATAAAGTAAAAAAAATGCAAAAAAACTACTATTTTTAAGTTACGATAGTTGTCGCTGTGGGACCTATCGCCACGGTTTTTTATGGTAAACTTTGAACTCATATATCTCATTTCCTGTAAAATATACCAAAAAGTGGACAGCTAGCAAAACATTTATCATGTTATCAAAAACATTTTGTCTGTTGGCCACTTCTTGATATCTTTCACAGAAAGCCAGATGAATTGTTTCAAAGTTGAGGGGCTATTTCATTTGAGTGAAATAAAAATAGACAAAAGTTTAGCAAGTTTGATGTTTGAAAAACCAGCCAACATCACAAATTTGTTTTCCGGTTATTATTCTTATCAGTATCGAAAAAAGTCAGTTGACATTCTTTCTGCTTGCGAGGAGCCTTCCGTCGTACTGATCAAACTTGAGTGTCACTGAAAAAACGGAAAATTCAGAACGATTAAATTTATTTTTCTGACAAATAAAATGATTGAAAATGGGGTGATGTTTATTGTTTATTTACAGAAAAAAGGAAATTATCATTTATTGGCGTCACGTCTCATACGAATCCGACGGTTTTGAAACCAGATTTTGACCTGAAAATTAAAATCGGAAAATTTTCAGAGGAAGTTGGTCTGGGTAAAATTTGAGTCAGCATATCTCGGTTCCTGTGAAAGATATCTAAAAATGATCAACTATGAAAATGTTTTTGACATCATAATTAATATTTTCATAGTTGACCATTTTTCGATACCTTTCACAGATAGCGAGATAAATTGCCTCAAATTTGAAAGTACATTACACCAAGGATACACGGCTTTTCCAACCGCGATAATATTTTTTCTTAAAAATTCTTAAAAGTAGACAAACTTTGGAGTTTTTAAGTTTTGAGGCTATTGCTGGATACTTGTTGCCCAGTTAATATATTTTTTGGAGTACGGTACCTGACATTTTTCATACCAGCTAGCTTTTACTTCTGTCTATTTTTATTGAGAAATGATCAACTTTGGAGCTCTACAATAGTGGTTAAGAATTTTTCGATTTGTCTGAAAATTGTATATTATACTAAACAAAAATAGAGCTTCATTTTTGTAGTTGGCCACTTTTTTGTAGTTTTGGAGATATGCGCCTTTAAAAATCCTTCTCATAATCAAGTTTCTCAGTTGCACGGTAGCGGCTTCCATCTTTAAAGGCGCATATCTCAAAAACCGAAAAAGTTACGCAAAAGTTGTCATTTACAAACTTGAATTTCTATTTTTGTTTAGTAGACTTACAAATTTTTCAGTTTGACCTGACAATGTCTGATATGCTTTTTAAACATCTGTAATTGGCATATTACAACTTTTTCAACTAAAAATAAGTAGAACTGGGAATGGTCAAATTTTAAACCCAGGATTTTTTTAATTGTCTGAAAATTCAATTCCCAGGTCTACTTATTAAATATATAGCTTCTATTGTAATTGACAACTTTTTTGTAATTTTTTTGGTTATTGAGATATGTCTTTGAAATACCGTAACCTCCCCTCCTCCTTCTCTCATGCCTTGAAGCGGCTTTCATCTTTAAAGGCGCATATCTCAAAAACCAAAAAAGTTACAAAAAAGTTGTCAACTACAACATTGAAGCTCTACTTTTGTTAACTATACTCTGAAAGTTTCAGTCTGATCCAACAATGTTTAATATGTTTCGTGTGCATTCAAAGTTGATAATTTTCAACTAAAAATACTTAAAATTAGGTCGACAGCTCTCTAACTTTTAACTTTGAGCGAATTTATCTTGGTTTCTGTGAAAGATATAAAAAAGTTGTTAACTAATAAATTGTTAATCAAAGTCTCACAAACATTTTATCAGTTGACAAATTTTTGATATCTCGCATAGAAATTGAAATAATTGATCTCCAACGTAAGGTGTAAATAAATTTAAAGTGCATAACCACGAACCTGATACTCATCCAAACTCAAAATCCTTGCCAATCTCTCTCGTTCCTCACATCCAACATACTGACTCTGTGCAAAGTACATCTCCAGAAGATACAATTGCTCTACAGTAAACGTCGTACGTCTTCTAGGAATTCTGGCGGCTGGTTGTCCTGTCCGGGACATCATGGAATGTGTGAAAGACATCTATTAGGGGGGCTGCTGTTCCATATATACAAAAGACCGCCCGTTTTGTGAAATCGAAATTACGGGTTGTTGTATATACAATGATATAATACGTTCTTCGTTTTTGACATGTTTTATTAGGGAGACATGATTTAATTGGAGAATGGTGATGATACGAAAAAAAATGTGATGAAAATGGAAAAGTTAGAAATGATTTGAAAACTTCGACATCTCGTAATACGTTTGCACAAGGGATTTCAGAATTCTGGCTCACCTGGCTCTAAGGTACCCATTGACAATTTCGATTTTTTCGATTTTTTCGGTAGAAAATTGCTAACTTCAGAGTCCTAAAAAATAGTTCAAAATTTTCAGACTTGTCTGAAAATTTCAGAGTACACTAAACACAAGTCAAACTTTAATTTTGTAGTTGACAACTGTTTGGTATCTTTTTGGGTTTTGGAGATATGCGCCTTTAAAGCTTGAAGTCGATATGGTGCAAGCGAGCGGCGGGTCGGATACAGTGTTTTTAAAGACCAACATCTCCAAAACCCAAAAAGCCACATAAAAATTTTAAATTATAAAAATGTGTAAAATAAAATTTCCCACAT